AATCAACTGTGTGCAGGGATAATAGGGATATCTTCTATTCGCCGGCTGGCAAATTGCCGCAGCAAACGAATTTCCGCCATAGGCAACCCAATCGCGGTGGATGGGCTTTCGTTTTCGGCGGTCGAGCAAGGTATAGGCATCTTACATGAGAATAGTAAAGGAAAAGGGTGCTGGGTATGTCATAAGGGAGATGAAGGGCTGAAGAACTTAAATGACAGTAAATTAGTTGTCGACATACGCGACGACATGCCAACGGACCTCCATCGTGGAGGACACCGCCTGCCGACAGACGGCATGGGGATTCACATTTGAATCACTTCTCTGTCTCTGTCTGCCACTACTGTACACGCCTGGCAGTTTGCTATATTTACCTCTGAGACGACAACAAGACAGTCCGCGTCACCACCAGCAAGCACAGTCTACTGTTGTTTCTGCTGCGCCTTCTGCTTTTCTCCCGGTTTTACGCCATTATTGTCATTAATTTTGGCGTCCTCATCATCACCCTCTTCCTCCACCTTATCCTTCTTGCAACTCTCCTCCTCCTCCTCCTCCGAAACCTCCTCGATTGCTTCGAGCTCTGGAACAAACTTGAGCTTTCTTAACTGCGGTTTAGAGTACTGCATGGTTTTGTCTATTGCAAAGTAAAGAAGGCGGGTTTAAGTAGTAGGTAACGGCTGTGCAACGGTCGGAATGGGCAATGCAAGTACAGTGATTGACCTATCTCATGAAATGTTGACAGAAATTCTGAAATGCGTTTTCGATTAGAAAGGACTACTTGGTCGCGGTTGTAATACTGATTATCTTAAGGCATACCCTTATAACATTTTGGACTTGGCAGAACGTCGCCTTTAAATGAACTTCTTTTTAATTTCCTGTGGATAGCGTGCACAGTAAAAATGACTACCTAATTAGCATGCATTTTTTCCGTTGATTTTCCAAGGTCTTGAAAATTCAAATATATTTTATAGAAACCACAAACAAAAATATGCTTTCCTTTAGTCAATCAATAGAAAATAATGTATAATTTATATTATATACTTAAGGTAGGAGTATAATTAGGTTTTAAAAACATTTCTTATTATGAGACGTTTAATGCCCGCGATATGTCCATTCACATGGCATCGTACCTGGCCATTTACCAGTGCTCCTCATGAAATGTACAACATGGTTTGCATCCATTTTAAAATTTTATGGACCTGTGTGATACATCTTTAATGAGATAGAAATAAATTGGTTTTTCTTTTCGCGGAACGCATGCACCTTGCAGAGTGTAAGCACTAAGCACTAATGCAACGAATGCTCAAGCTCCAAATTTTTCGGCAATTAGGAAACTTTTTTAAATCCTAATCATGTTTTTTTCTTAAGTATTAAATATAAAGGAGGCGTGATTTTCTATTGATTGATTAATAGAAAGCATATTTTCGTTTGTGCTTTCCATAAAATATATTTGAATTTCAAAGACCATTGAAAATCAAAGGAAAAAAATGCATGCTAAGTAAGTAGCCTTTTTTACCGAGCACGCATTCTACAGGAGATTAGAAAGAAGTGCATTTAAAAGCCGACATACTGTCAAGTCCAATATTATAAAAAAAATATGCCTTAAGATACTCAGTTTTACAACCGCGACCAAGTTATCCTTCAAAGTCGAAAACGCATTTCAGAATTTTAGCCAACATTTCATCAGATAGCTCACGCACTGTAGTTAATGCACTTACTCAGCCTCCTGCATGCACGTTCACACGTTTGACCGCCACGCTGCCATCTTGACACTTGAAAGCCGACTTGCACAAGATCGATAACCCTCAGCCATTCGAATTCACCTCAGACAGTCATTATGACGCTGCAAACGGTGCGCGGTCTATGCCTGGAAATTCTGGTCATAGGTGCATTTATTCACATCATTTGCTGCTGCTGCTGTTGGTGCTTCTGCAGCTGGCCCCCCTCCGTCACGTCCGGTTTTACGCCATTATTGTCATTGGTACAGGCGTCCTCCTCCTCCTTCTCTAAATCCTTCTCATCCTCCTCCTCCTCCTCCTCGCGATCCCCCTCATTCTCCTGCTTATCATTCTCCGAAAACTCCTCGATTCCTTCGAGCTCTGGAACAAACTTGAGCTTTCTTAACTGCGGCTTAGGGTACTGCATGGTGTTTTCTATTGCGAAGTAAAGAATGCGGGTTTAAGTAGTCAGAAGCGGCTGAGCAACGGTTAGAATGCTAGTGCAAGTAGTTAAGGCACTTACTGAGACCTGACTGATCCGTCTCATCCTCTCGTACCAAGCCACTCTCTATTCTTCTACCAAATTCAGCTGTTTCCTCCGCCTTCTCCTTCTACTTCTCCTCATGCTGCTCCGCTTCGCCACATTCCGCATACCAGAATGCTACTGACTCAACACCAACCGAAGATGGTAGATCATTATACAGCCGACATATACAATAATTCCTTAGGCGCACATTGCTGAAGGGATTCTCAAGGAGAGAAGACATCTTCCCTTCACAGAGCTTCGTCCAGCAAAGAAACACTTCTTGAAGATTGAACAACGAAAACATAACGAGGAACAACGATGGGGTAGAAAGGACGATGCCTACAAGTAAAGAGATGAGATGTGTCCGTTAGTCTATAATCCGGTCTGCGTATACTCGGATAATTATATTAAGCCTGGAGCAATCGCAAAGGTAAAACATTACATTGTAGTAAGCAGGAATTTAAATGATATCACGAGGTGCATGAAGGGATTTAATGTGAGCACTTACCAATCAACAGGTAAAAAACAACATTCGCGACGCAAAAAAATCCAGAGAGTTGAAACCATCTCACAAATGATTTGAATAAATGCACGCATGAGGAGAATTTTCAGGCATAGACCTCGCACCGTTTGCAGCGTCATAATTACTGACTGAGGTGAATTCGAATGGCTGAGGGTTATCGACCTTCTGCAAGTCGCGGTTCAAGTGCCAAGATGGCAGCGTGGCGGTCGAACGAGTGCACGTGCATGCGCGAGGCCAGGTTGGGTTGTTTAGTAGGCTTCTGCCCCAAAGAAGACCTTTGCTTTCTCAGCACTCATGACTTGGTTGACACTTGGTGTAGGGTTTGCTTCATTGATACGAAAGGCAGAAAAGCGATGGCTTGGCGATGCCTCATGCTGTAGGCGTGTTTAATGGGAAAGACTGCTGTAGACGTGGAACGATAATTAAGATAGTATAGGAAACACTTTTAATTATTTTACACACAGCAAGTGTTTCCGGCCTCCACAAAACATTACCCTGTATAGTTTGACTTATTAAATTCCCGATTGGCCTTTGAAAACCACACTGCTGAATAGGGCGCCTAACGGCTGCGAGGTAATAGAAATTTAAACTACTAGAAAGGGTACCGGGGGCGAGGAACCTGAGTTATTTTTAAAAAATCGTTTCGGAACACTATATAGTTAAAGGCAAATCCGTGTCAGCCATTTGATCTACAAAGGTGTTGGTCGGATTATTCAGCCTAAAGGCCTTCCCCTTAGGGATACCCACTGGCTCAAAAAGATTTATCATTAGTCCTCGGAGGAAAAGGACAATGTGACGAACTTTGAAGCGAACGATGGAGTGAAAACGGTGAAAGTATGGAGGCAGATCATAAAATGGAGGAAGTAGGGGCCTGACGGTGACGGTTACCCGCTGATATTCGATGCCAACAATGACTGTCTGAATATTGCTCAGCCCAGCCACTGCCTGCAGACTGCAACATGTCAACGCCAAAATTGGATGGCTAAGCTGATTGATGATGAATTATGTGTTTGATACTGATAACGGAGATAGTGGCATTGTCGGTCGGGATGGCGCAAATGGTGGTGGTGGTATTGGGTACGTTGTCTCCAGAGGAAAGGTATAGCATAGTTTACCCAGTCAAATACGCCGCATCCCTGCGATCTGCCAGCTGGCCGTGGCCGCATCCGCAAAACTAACCTCCAGAAGATCCAAAGAAGAAACAACTCTCTGCATTTTGCTCTTTCTCCTCCATCTTTCCGCCCCGCTTATCGTCCCGGTCGCTTGTTTCTCCAGTCGCTCTAAAAGGCAGCAAACATTCCAGGCTGCCAGTGCGTGTAAAGTCACATTGCAAGGCCTGCGAATCATGAGCGTGATCCTAAGATGACCATGGAGTCCGCACTGGATTTTCGGCAAGAGATCTTCATTTAGAGTTTTGTTCAGAAGGACGCGATCAAAGATTTTCCCTGCGATGTTCAGCAAGAAGATGCCTCGATCGTTGTCGCAGCGTTGACGGTTTCCTTTCCGATTGTACAGATGCATGATGGTGATATTCTTGAAGTCCGCTGTTTTTCTATCACTTAATGTTTTTTAATGAGGCAGGAAGATGAAGACAGTCAGACACATCCTCGTCCGTTTGCCAACATTCCCCTTCACTATTCTGTACAGGATAAAGTGTCCTAACTAACTGGCCTCCTGCTTCTAACAACTTGGAACATGGCCTGAAGTTGAGGCGCCCTGAGCGTACACCATTCACGCTTAGCCGCTACACTGCCAACGCAGCCGCATCTGACAATAGCTCCTGCGTAGGGAACCGATAGTAACGAATGCGGGACACGGTCCAGTCGACGGCGTTGTCTGTCCTCGGTCTGATTGCAACAACGCCGCCATCAGCAACCTGCTCGCCGCGAATAACTGCCAACATAAAAACCTACGTCGACCGCTACTCCGATGACAATAGTGCTGCTTTCAACCGCAGCCTCTGCCTTCTATACCAGCGGCCGTGCGAAATGCAGGATGAGTGAACAGCTCACAAGGCTTAGGAGGTTCAAGGATGCGCAAACGGCAAGGAAGGGAAGAATTTCTTGTCCACGATCAATGCTGTTTATGGTCCAACAGCCAGAGGTAGTGCACCTCTCCTCAGCCTCGACATCAGTCCCCTCCTTACCGAGAAGACACAATAACTTCAGGGATGCATTGAGCTATTCTTAGACATCCTCAACCGTTCGACCAACATATTCGACGCGGACGGCGTCCGTCTGCCGCAAGTAGTGACCAACTTTGCCCACGACTATTAATACATTTCAACAAAACCATCTGGAACGTGCGGCAGCTCTCCAGCAGACAAGCGTCCGTTAATGACGCGATCGCTGCAGAGGTCTCAAAGCACGTTGGCACACCAAAAGTACCACCAACACAATTGCTATAACTACAATTACCAACACCACCAACACCACCAACACCACATCCACCAAAACCAACGTCAAAACAACCAACATCACAATCATCTTCTTCTTCATCGTCATCACCACCACCACCACCAACATCATCATCATTCATCATCGTTGACATTTCGCAGTCCACAGGCAGTAGCTGGGCTGTCCAGTCTTCACACAAGCGTTGTTAACATCTAATATCAGAGTGTAACCGTCATCTTTTTCATACGGCACGAGTTGGAAGTTCAGTGTACGATTGCGGCGATGTCCACGGTGCGCGCAAACACAGGCTTGAGATTACAGCCGTGGCATACTCAAGCCCCGAATTCCATCCTTATATGATCTGTCTCCCTACATTCACCCTCACCCTGCTTCGTCCGCCTATCATGAATCATTTTGAGCCAGTGTGTATCCCTTAGAGCAAGTCCTTACTGCTGAATGAACCGACCAAAACGTTTGTTGGCCAAGTGGCTGATCCAGCTTATACCATGATCGATATCCTGCTCAGAAGAGATGATTTTAACATAAATCATGCATCTCTCCCTCTATCCTTTCTACTCTCTTTCAATCTTCAATCCCACGCAGCTGTTAGGCGTCCTATTCAGCAGTGTGTTTTTCAAAGTCCAATCGGTAATTCGATAGGTCAACCTCTTACGGTTTAATAAAATATTTACCAACTGTTCCATGTCTACAGCAGTCTTTCCCATTAAACACTCCTACAGCATGAGGCATCGCCAAGTCGTCGCTTATCTGCCTTTCGTCTCAATGTAAGAAAACGCAGCACACAGTGTCAACCAAGTGATTAGTGTTCAGAAAGTAAAGGTCTCCTTAGGGACAGAAGCTTCCTCAACATCCCACCTTCGCCTCGCTCATGCACATGCACACGTTCGACCGCCACGCTGCCATCTTGGCACTTGAGCCGCGACTTGCAGAAGATCGATTACCCTCAGGCATTCGAATTCACCTCAGTCAGTAATTATGACGACGCAAACGGTGCGAGGTCTAAGCCTGGAGATTTTGCTCATGCGTGCATTTAGTCAAATCATTTGCGAGATGATTTCAACTTTCTGGATTAATTGCGTCGCCTATGTTATTTTTTTCCTGTTGATTGGTGAGTGCTGACATTAAATCCCTTCATGCACCTCGTGATATCATTTAAATTACTGCTCACTGCAATGCAATGTTTTACCTTTGCGATTTCTCCAGGCTTAATATAATTATCCGAGTATACGCAGACAGGATTATAGACTAACAGGCACATCTCATCTCTTTTCTTGTAGGCATCGTCCTTTCTACCCCATCGTTGTTCCTTGTTATGTTTTTGTTGTTCAATCTTCAAGAAGTGTTTCTTTGCTGGACGAAGGTCTGTGAAGGGAAGATGTCTTCTCTCCTTGAGATTCCCTTCAGCAATGTGCGCCTAAGGAATGATTGCATAGGTCGGCGGTATAATGATCTAGCATCGGCGGTTGGTGTTGAGTCGGACACTTTCGCTGCCCGTCGCCTTAAACGCCGTCATTCTGTCCCGCTTGTCCTTTTATCTGTCTGTAGATCTCGCTGTTGGGACCGTACAGGATTTGGCATTCATTTCGCGAGAGCTCGGGTCCAATTGACGCTGCTCCTTTGTTGATTGCCTGCAGGAGGTCACTTTCTGTGACACAGAAAATGGGCACAAGCCTTTGTCTAATAATCTCAACGGCGGACACCGACGAAGAACAATATGCGCGAATAGGCAGACTGCGATAGGTGCTAACTGAGCCTCTTTTTCGCTACTTCTCACCAATAAAGACTTTTCAGACCAATTTTCTTTCATCGACTTCTGATGTTGGTGTCTTTGTGATGTCAATCATTAGGACTATCGAGTTAGCCCTTAATCGCAGCAAGTCTTTGCCGGCAGGAGCTGTTTGAAAAAGGTCAGTGCTCAAGTGGAATCAAAGAGGCTTTTTGAATGACTGCGCCTACAATGGGTAACCGATCTTATGCAATGTTGGCCGAAATGATGGAATTTTGGTTCCAAGTTAGGAAGGATTACTTAGGTGGGTTTGCTATATTGAATGCATGTCTTTTTGCCCTCCAGCAGAATCTAAATTCGGCAGAAAATTTCTACCTAATTAGCATGTATTTTTTCTAATGTTTTTGACGTTCTTACAAATTTAAATATATTCTATGGAAAACATGCCAAAAGGTATGCCTTCTTCTACTGCTTTGGTAGAAATCACATTTTCTTTATATTTCATACCCGAAGACGGTTTAGATTTAGGTTGTAAAATGTTTTCCAAATAAATGTAAGCCTTATTTATTATTGCAGTAGCGTTTTGCCTATTCATTCTACAAGGTGCATGCCTTCTGCTTTCGAAAAATCTTATGTTCCTCTGTAACTTTAAGAAGAATCAGCATAGAGTTTATAAAATTTCACAATGGATCCGATCTTTGATGTACATTTCATAAGGAGCATTGGTAAACGCATATGTGAGGTTCTGCGTGCGTGGATATCGCACAGTCTTACGCATAGTTTGAAGCATTTGTAAAACCGAAAGAAAACCTTTGTTAGGATGCAAAATTAAACAATTATGTGGTTTTTGTGCATGTTTTCTATAGTATATATTTAACTTTATAAGACCACAAAAAATCAATAGGTAGAGCGATAACTACATAAGTAGAAATTTGTTACCGACTGCGGTTTCTGCACGAGGTAAAAACGACATGCATTCAAAAGTCGATATCCTTATGAGTCCGCAATACTACAGGGCAATGCTGCATACTAACTGATGACATAGCCGCATCGACGTAATCCTTCTTAATCAAAAACGCATTTCCGGAATTCGGCAAGCATTTGATGAGATCGGTCTCGTACTGTGTGTCTGTGGTTAAAACATCACTATAAGGGATAGCTAAGCCAACGGAGCGGAATGCAGAGCAAACCCGAGTCTCTCAATAGCTGTCCGTGCATCATCCTTTGGAATCAGAAAGCATGTTCATGAGAGGCAACATATGGTCACCTCAGACCGGTGGGACTGACGGTATGAGTCGACTTTCCGGCAGAAACATTGTTAATGACGCTTAGGGGTTGGTGCAAGAAAATCATGAATACCTTTACTCTTTGAAAAACAGAGGACGCAGGCCTTCAAATTCGGCATTATGGTTAAGAAATGCAAGCATAGAAACTCCAAAAACGCCCTTGGAAGGGTTGGTGATGACATCGTTCTTGCCGAGGCGGTCAAACACCGCGGCATGATGTCACGTGTGTTCTATAGCACTCTGACTAACCAGGAGAAGGTCATCGATGCAAATGTGCCGGCGAAAAGCCACGCAAGACACAGTCGGTGAGCCTCCGAAACGTCTGGGCAGCATTGTGAATGCCAAAGGACATGTGGCTAAATCAAAAGAATGAAAGGAATAGCAATAGCAGTTTTGGGATTTCCTCACAAGCGACAGAAATCTGATGAAAGCTGCACTTAGGTCAATCTTCAACGACGAGTTTCTTAATACCATAATTTACGCTGATCCCCGTCAAAAAATGGAAGAAGTGGTTTAAAGGGTTGGAAGCAGGAAAGAAGCAATAGCTCAGGATTCCTTTGTACATGGAAACAGTCCAAAGCCTGATTTTGATTAAAGACAATAAAATGTAGTAAGTGGTTGTATTTGACTTATTATTGGCACTGCGTAACCTCCCCGGCAACAGGGTAGACGATGTTTCAAGTTCTCTATTACTTGTGATTATAAATGGTGTTTATACGCGAATGTAAACCAAATAATGGATGGTCTCAAAGAAGTAAGACAAAAACTATAACCTTACGTGATTTTCACTTTTTAAAATAATGATTGAAGATTTCTCTGCGTCAGACCCAGCGAATTTCACGAGAGCCAGATTACAAAATTTTCGCAACTTTGTTAATTTGTTATGAAAACGTGGGCGGATAGATAATAAATTAAGCCTTTGAGTGGTATTTGCGAATATAGCTAAACTGTAAATAACCCTAAAGCGCCCGAACCATAGGGACAGCCCATCACGGACGTTTTCTGCTGGTCGCAAACGCATGACTACGCTCCTACACGCGGCAGAACAGTGTTTTCTTTCGATTCGTGTGTTTCAAGTTGAGGTCACCAAACTTGTGAGCGTCTGTCTGAAGGGGCTGCTTACATGCTACTAAGTGAACGTTGGCGAGACCTGTCGTCGGCGTTGATTTCCTTTTACGCTCGCACGAACCGCACTGTAAACTAGCGAGATGCTTTACTGTCGGTACTCGGCTACTAATTTCGGATGCCTTTTCTCAGCGTGCACAAACCTACACCTTACACGTGGCCGAAAGCAAAGACTCTGACTGTCTTTAGACGACCGAAGTAGGTGCCCTAATCTTACTTCGTCGTAGTTTATATCGCTCCTAGTCTGGTTTACTCATCTAGGTGTTGTCAAGCCCGTGACGTGGAACTTTGTTTTAATTACCTGCTTATGTTCTTTTTATGCCCTGACGCGATATCAGGAGACGGCAGGTTATTGCGTCCAGCGCTACCATTTAGACAAGCCCTAAGGCAGGATCTGAAGAATTATAATTCCCAAATGATCATAGACACAATTAAGGCAACTGTTGTTTACCTATACGAACACCCTTGCGCTCAAGGATATAGAGTCTCAAGAACGCCCTTGTGACTTTCAAAGGAAGCGAATAGGAAAGTCCTTAGGAACAGTATAGAAGATATTATCGAAATGATCAGCGGCCTGACGTCCCGGATTCTCACTTGTACACATTATTAGAGACAGTCGTAGGTCAAACGGACGTAGACACATAGAGTAGATAATTCAGAGTAAGCAGTTGCCATATCATTAGATATCTAGAGTAATTAGACACACTCGCATTCATCACTGGGAATTCAAGCTTTATGTATTGCGTACTGGTAAGTGCCATGATTGACCGTAACATCACAACCGCTATTAATAATTATTGTGACGAATGTTCGACAGGTTATTTCGTGGTCACACGGAATTTTGGCCGTCCGCACCCTTGCAGCGTGGTCGAAAAGAATGACCAGGCAAAGTCTCAGCACAGAAAATAAAGGGGGGGGGAGCGGGAGAGAGGAAGGTGCAGTTGAGCGGCAAAGAAGGGCACAGAGGAAGGGCAGTCGGTTATTTGT